GATGTACGAAGAGAAATGAGAGGGGTTATTAGTGATTTAAATTCTTCGAGGAAGAATGCCAGGGTTAGGGCTTGAGGGACTGTTGAATCATGGTTGTCTAAGATTAAGGTGGTGTTTCTTTTGGAAGTTGTATGGGCGTATGATGGTTTTCCACTGCTGTTGATCTGGCTTGAGACGACCTGCTGTGGTGAGTCTTTTGAAGAGCTTAGTGTTGAGAAGAAGTTTGGTTTGGAGTTTTGGTCCCGTAAGGTGGATTTTGGTGCGGAGTTGCGGTTATATTTTTGTAGGATCTTATGTACTTGACACCCTCTATAGTTGGCTGGGTGTGGTTGTGTACATAAAGCACAGGTTGCAGGAGAGTCCTTAACTTTCTTGCATTCGCTTGATAGGTGGTTGTCGCCACATTTCACACATCTAGGTTGGTGATTACAGTATGCTTGGGTATGGCCGTAGGACTGGCAGCGCGTGCATTGAATTAAGTTGCGTCTGGAACGTGGCTCTTCAATTTTTATTTTTGTATAAACGAGTGTGTCTATTGTAAAAATATCTTTGTTTGATGGTGAAGGCTCCAAGTCCACGAAAAAGATTGGGAGGGGTTTTTTAGTTTGATAATGCAGAACGTTAATAATATTCCTGACAGTGAAACCTTTGGAATTTAATTCCTCCTTTATAGTGTCGACAGGCGTAGAATGATGGAGGTGCCTTATTACTACTCTATATGATTTATCACCTTTGAGTTGATTTGTGTGAAAGTTGACTTTTTTCTCTTTCAAGAATTTTAGAGTTTTGCGATAAGAGTCGGTTGTATACGAGGGCTAATCAAAAAGTATCGAGACTGATAATACTACTCAGAAACCGAGCGTTGAAGAGCAAAACGATTTGTAAACCTAGCTTTTATAACTTATACTGAGCACATCTATTCGTATAAAATCTCTATAAACTTCTTCGTTTTGATTTGAGGATATTTTTCTAAAATTTGTTTTTCACGTTTGGCGATTTCGTAATGAATCCAAAAGAAGCGGAACTCGCTGCCACTCGAGGGCACATTTTCAGTTTTTTAATTGACATTTAATGGCAAAAACCATGAAATGTNAGAGGTACCCGTTGGAGAATTTAGATTATTTTTTTTTCCTCTTGGTTGTCTTTGTTGACCAGACGAAAATATTATCATCATCACTGGGAGTGGGAGTAGTTGAAGGTGACCCGTCTTTCGATAGTATAGAGTTTTGGTTGATTATTGTTATCGGAGGCACTAATGGCTTTTGTTTATCAGTTTTCCTTGACAATGGAGATTTGTTATTCATCGCGGTGTTAATTAGTGGGACTAATTAAGAAGCGGTGTTTATAGGGGGTTTTGAGCCCGGGGAGCCCTAACGGGCTGTAATACTTACAGAATCGCTTCCGGCGTAATCTCACGAATGCGGGCGTATCAGACGAAAAAAAAAATTTACTGGTTTTAAGTTAGTTTTATACGTAACGCAACAGCGTGACAAAAGCACATGTTGATTGTTCAGCCGTCCGGCAAAATATGAATCAATATAATAATAATAAAAAAATAGTCAGAATCTACGAATAAATACGATTTAGTGAGCATTTTTATAGTATTTAGTTTTTAAAACATTATATTTACGTTTTTAACTTAGTTACAAATTTGTAGACTTCAAAATAATCAAATACTTAAGCATTCAGTAAATTAATATTTTTAAGTGTTTTTTTATAAATTAATTATCGTAGATATCTAATATCTTCCGTTTTTTCAAAAAAAAATGTATTTACCTTTGTAATTGTTTGATAATTATGACATGTTGAAAGTTATTCAATTGAACCATTATAGAATTTCAAGGTAAAATCCAAAACAAGAAAAATACACATGTAAAAATAATTCAATATTTTTATTAAGGCACTATACATTTTAACAAGAATTTTTCATAAATTGCCTGAATGCATACTAAACTGGTCCATAGAAAAAAAAATATGTAACATTTTATGCATAACATTATCATAATAATAATAATTCGTTTTAAAAAATAATATCTTAATCGTTTGCATAATAATATGCAAACATAATAATAATTAAATTTATCTTAATATATATTATGTAATTATAAACAGTGATAACCAATAATATTATTATTCAATACATAGAAAATATCGTTTAACGCATTAACACAATAAAATTTGATTATCAAAATATTATATAATAATAAAATATACCATACACAAAATACTTAAACATTTGTTTAAAAATAAACATTAGTACTATTGTATTCGAGATAAACACAATTGATTACAAAAGGCACTTGGATTTTAGAAAATATTTATGATTAGAGATAATAAATGTTGTGTAATCAAGTGTACAATGCACTTAAAAAATCAATTACCAATATATTGTTGAAGTGTAGATAGGTACATAACTAAATAATAATACTGTATCGATAATGAACATAATTCGTTCATTTCTGTTTTACACCACGAGTGTTAGTATCAGTATCAGACTATTTAAAAGAATAATACTTTTTTATAGTCCCACTCTCAGTTCGATGAATATTTCTCAACTTTCTTTCGCGATGTTGAAAAAGTTAATTTATGTTTAAGATAATACCTATTATAACAATAGTTAAAATTAATAATAAAAATAATGATAATATTATAAATTTAAATTATAGTAAACATACAATACAATCGATATGATTTACAATTGAAGTATTTATGATACAATACACAAAATAATTTTAAAAAAATGTACAAGTCATAAAAAAAATTAGTCCTTCTATTCAACAATTGCTGAAAAACTGCAGTTTTTTGCTCTATGTTTAACCAGTAAACATATTTTCTTTCATACAGAATTTGTTTGGGTCTCTCAATAATAATAATTCAATAAAACAATAAAAATAGTAATAACTACATATAGAAACGTAACACTAATAAATAATATAATGTAGTATAATATTAAGTAATAAATATATATATAGGTTTTAACAAGTACCCTCAACACAAATAATATATGTCAAAGCATAACTTCCATAATGCCCGTACATATATATTATAAAAATAATAATGATTGTCAATAATAAACTCAGTAAGAAACGCGTCAGTTTTTAACGACGAAAGTCGATAACACTAATTGTTAACAGTGTGTACGGAGATTGAATTTTTTTTTACGAATTTGCTGATGTAAATCATCATCGTATAAGTATAATATTGTAGATTCTTAATAAAATCATTTTGATTTAAGTTTAAGATCTCTTTTGCCACTTTGCAAATCCAGTCGTATTATATCGTCATATACGATCATGTACATACATATACAAGCAAGAAAAAAACAATAAGAACTCCATACTAAATAAATGCTATTCAAATCAATCATTATAGTTCGTTTGGCTAAAATAAATCTTAGAATAAACAGCCAATAATCCCTGTTATCGTCTATCTTCAACCAGCTTTTAATGTTTTTATAACCTTTTGCAAAATCTTGTTTTCAACTGATGAGTCCAAGTTCTTTTCAAGCGTCTCTTATTATCGTCAAATTTCACTGCAGAATAATAATAATAATAATAAAAATCACATATTAAATGTTAGATAATTTAAAACAAGTAGTTTAATTATCTATTTCAAAATCTAAACTTTAGGGTAAAAATTGTTTTAATACTGAACAAAATTCTCCTTGGAAGAACTCTTTCTTTCCAAATGGTTTATAAAGTCCCTCCTATTCCACCCGCAATACGGTTCTTGCAAGTCAGCACATTCTCTGTTGAAAATATACGGAATTGTATTAAAGATTATTGTAATTATTATAAATGCTTAGCTAAATAAACAGCTACAAGTTAAAGGACATAAGCGCTCATAAATATAAGTATATATCGATTATATATAAATCAACCAACTGCACCAAAATTGAATGTGATTCATTTTTTTATCAGGGCCTACTTCACATTTACACTTAAAACTACTATAATTTCGAACTTTTTACCTCAGGTCCATTATTGGTACTTCAAGAAAATTCTCCAATTCTGTTATTAAAATTGAAACTGTATGACTCTCTTTGAAAATTAGATGCAGATGGTTAGCTAGTAGATTTATTTATAAAAAAAACCTCTACATTCAACTCCTTAATATCTATAACAGCTTTCTTGATATTTATTATTTGTAGCTCTACATTTGAAAATCTCTACCGATTCTCGCTTTAAACTCCTACTTGTTATCCGTTAACAGCAGCTATATTTTCAAAT